GCGAGGCGAGATCCGGGCGGGCGTCGCCGCGGCGGTTGCTCCGAGAGATGGCGATCGGCGCGCTCAGGTGGACCGTGTTCCCTGTCCACGGCGGTGGTCGTCGGCAGCGTGGCTACAGCCTACATGAGTCTCTTGGACTGAGAGGATGGGGAATTGGGGAAGGCACGAGTGTGCTTGTGCGTGCAGCGTCCGTGAGACGAGGAGACGATGGCCAGTGCGTGCGTGGGCTAGTGGGCTGGGCTAAGACGACTAGTAGTAAAATTTTTTTTTGTCAAATTCCTGGGCGGGCCATGGCCCGGGTCTGCCCCTACAGAGCTCCGCCCCTGGCCATGATGAATTAACTGAAGAACAGCGTGAGATATTGGGCAAGATTAGGAAGAAGAAGGCAATGCTCATCCAAGAGCATAGGATGAAGAAGAGTACTGCTGAGAGCCGGCCTATTGTTCCAAGGAAGCATGACAAAGATAGTAAATTCACAACCAAGAGATTGGGCAGACAACTCACATCCATGGGTGTTGATCCTACTGCGGCTGTGAACCGACTTCGCAGCCAGTCAAGAGGCCGTAAGCGTGAGAGGTCACTGAGCAGAGCTGATGGTGACGCTATGGACGTTGATGGCCAGCATTCCGACAAGAAACTGCGTACAAGGTCGAGGTCTAGGTCCAAGTCACGACCAATTGAAGAGGTTGTGCCAGGTGAAGGGCTCAGGGACACTGCTCAAAAGAAGAAGGCCATCAAGAAATCAAGGGACTCTGTGAAGAACAGGAATAAGGAGGCTCGACGTGGAGAGGCGGACCGTGTCATCCCCACCTTGAAACCAAAGCATCTCTTCTCTGGGAAACGAGGCATTGGAAAGACCAGCAGGCGATAAGCCAGTCAATCTGGACATTGCTGCTTGCGATCACTGGATCAGGTGTGGAACCTGTGCTTCACATGATTTCCACCTAGTTAACAAATCTTATTCTGTGCTATTGATAATAGACTGCTGTTTCTTTTTCATAGGGATAGGGCTGTTAAATCTTGACATCATGCTGATTGTTTAAACTAGATGCAAATGTTAGAACCAGCACCGTTGTTGTAGTTAATTGGTTGTTCTGTAGTAAGCTGAGAGTAGTTTACATATCGTACTGCACTCTCAAATTGGATTAATAATTTTCTTTATAATAACCTAATAAAAAAGCACCGCTATCACAAACTGGTCAGTGGTGATGCAAGCACTGTAGATCTTATAGAAGGGCTTGTGAAGTATTGCTTGAGCTACATCCACATTTATGATTATATATAGGGTATCAGCCTAACCCTTCAATTTTTTCCCATATGGATAGGGTTGTTGATCTTGAAATCGTGCTGATTTTGTAAATTGAATGCACCAGCACCGACCTTGTAGTCAATTGGTTGTGCTGTAGTGAGCTGAGTAGTTTGCATATCGTGCTGCACCCAAATTCGATCAGTGAATTTTTCAATAATACATATTTAAATAAATACACGAAAGCACCGTTGCCATAAACTGCCGATTGGTGATGCAAGCAAGCACTGTATGGAAGGGCTTGTGATCCACATATGTTTATTGGAAGCTCAACTATTCTCTCCTGCAGGAAGTACAGGATCACTGCTATTTTTGGTGCTGCATATCTATCAGGGGAGGCTTGAAAACCAAGCTCAAGCTGGCAGGAGGAGATACTACTAGTATCTACATTTTCATTTTTGCCTGTTACACTTTGTCCTCATTTGTTAGATTATGTCGATCGTTGCTGAAGTGTATGCAAATTTTGGTTTATTCCACACTTGTGTGGAGTGGACTTAAATTTTGTTTGATGGTGTCAATGTGCTGAAGGAGTCCGTTAAGAGAGACCTGAAGGATTGGAGTATCGACAGAGAGCTAGCTATGGACAGAGGTGCGTGGAAGCTTGCTATCCATGTGCCAGAGCCATGAGTTGGTTGCGAGATCTTATGGGTTTCACCTCTAGCCTACCCCAACTTGTTTGGGACTAAAGGCTTTGTTGTTGTTTTGTTGGTGTCAATGTGCTGGAACGGGTCGCTGGTTCTTACTTTTATACTGAAGTGTGTTGGTGCTGTGATGTTTCAGCTGTGTTTCTAGGCATTGTGAGATTACAAGGTTGCACTCTGTCTGGCCTGTTGCACTTGAGGTCTGGAACGTGGGACTTTTAGTTGCTCACTGACGCAGTTGTTCTTCAGGTCAATTGTGAAGAACACATTTCTTTTCTTGTTTTATGATCTTGTTGCTGGGCGAAAACAACTGCTTCCTCACTGAAAAAGGCGCCGTACACTTCCAGAACAAACAAACAAAGCTCGACCCCGCTGGTCATAACAATTTTCCAGATCAATTACACATTGTAAGCATACAACACCAACCTTACTACGGTTATCTAGTGTTTGAGCATTACATGTTAGCTATCTAAGATCCACTGAGCTTACTTGAGTTTCTTCTTGCTCTGTAACAGCAGATTGTATATTTCTTACAGAGAATGCATTAGACCCTTTACATACGCAGTTCATGCAATCATGCTAGCGAAGTCACCGCTAATTCCTTATCTTGGCTTGTTCTTGACCACCTTTTATCATGTCCAGAATCTGATTCCGTGGCCAATGGCACCAGAAAATCTCCTTTGAGATCATCAGCATGTGAATTCTTCTCAATAGACTTTTGCAACTTAATGGAATATTTCAAGTCTTTTATCTGCGGGGAATTATATGAGGCATGTTAAAGAATGCTGCAGGGAAAAAGCAACAGAAATCATAAGCACCTGTTCTTCCAGGCCAAGGATCGTATCGTCCTTCAGCTTGAACTCTGCTCTCTCCCTGTGAATGCATCATTATCGGAAAAAGGGGAATGAAATAATATGGTAGGAAACGTGTGGTATTTTAGAATTGAAATAAATATTAAGGGGAATATTCAAACAACTTTTAAATACGACTGTACATGAATATGTATATAGTTCAGCAAATCATTGCAAATAGTATCAATGTTCATAATGTGCCCCAAATAAATGTGTTATTTGACGAAAGTCCTATTCTGATCCCGAGCTCAAATGCACCTTGATGCACAGTAAAATGGTAAAAAAATCTGAATTGTTTTTGTGATAATTTTTACAAAGTTTTGTATGCCTGCAAAATTTCAGCATGAAATGACATTTGTGGAAGTCGTGAAAAAGAAAATCAATACTCTGAAATGTTTCCCAAACTAGCATTTTTGGAGCATCGATTTTGTTTTTTGTTTTCCAAGACTTCCACGAATGTCATTTTATGCTGAATTTTGCAATCATGCCAAACATTTGTTAAAGTTTACCACCCAAAAACTTTTTTAAATTTTTTTACTGTTCATCAGGGTGCATTTGAGCTCGGGAGCAGATACTCCACGTCCATTATTCGACTTCTTTCACATGACACACCTTGAATGACTACTACCAATTTCAGGTGGGAAGATCAAAACATACCTATTCCTTTTCCTGTCTGGCGCCATATATCCTAGCTCGTGAGTTTTTCATTCATCTACAGGATAATGCAAAAGGACATCAGTTACACCAATAGTGAAGCTGGTTGTACTTCATAAAGGAAAGCTGCATGATTTAAATACATGCTCACTTCAGCAACTTTATTTTTCTCCAACATTGTATTTTCGAGCTTAAATTGCATCTCCTGAAGCCTATCATTTATAGTTTTATCCGCAGCAACAGAAATGTTTCGTTCCCTTTCTTTCTTAGTTTCTGACAAAAGAGCCTCATAATACTGTGAATATGAACAGACACAGGTATATAAATGCATCAGATATACAGTACATACAACTATAACAAACTTTATCTCTTTCAACAAAATAATTATCTCCAAAAAAAACTATGCGAGAAGCTATAGAACAACGCAATGGATAGTGACCATAACAAAATACTAGGAAGGAAAGAGGATTGCACCTCTCGCTGAGTTTCAAGTTGGCTTGCTAAGACGATTGTATTCATCCACAATCTGTTAGGAAGAGCAGGGCATGTGATTTGAGGAACAAGAATACCAATAAGGTGTGATGGTGAATCAAAACAGATAAACTTAGAAGATATTCTTCGATAAACTTTTATTTTCCATGCATGTTTTTTCTATTTTCCCTTTTTTACCTACCTTTTCTTTTTCGTGTTTCCCCTTTTCTGTTCATTTTGGTATTTTCTATTTTTGTGTTTATTTTTCTGGGAGGTAGGCCCAACATTTTTTAGAAATTGTGTTTTCTTAAAACTATATGAGTTTTTTTAGGCCCAAGATTAAAAAAAAATTGTTTTGTTAAAACTATATAAGTATTTTTTTTATATAAAACACGTGATCAATTTGAAAAAACGTTGATAATTTTTACAAAAAGGCGAAGATTTTCTTTTGAGAATCTAAGGCGATTTTTTTTAACTACAAGAACATTAAAAGAAAGGTAAACACTTTATAAATTAACAATAAAATTTTAAAGTGCCAACACTTTTGAAGAACTACATACACAATTCTTATAAACATGTGAACATCTTTAAGACTTACCTGAGTATTTGTAGAAATGCATTAGCACTTTTTAAGTAGACAAACATTTGAATAAAATGCCCAAACACTTGTTGAAATTACGTGAACACATTCTTGAGACTACATGAAGTGCATGAACGGTTTTGTGCGAATCGTACGAACATTTTTATAAATATATGTAACATATATTTTAGTTAGATGAATATTTTTTTAGAATATTTGAACGCTTTTTTTAAAAAAGTTAACATTTTTCTTATTATTAAACAGCTCATATGAATCAATAGAACACATGTTTATTATTATTGTTATATACATTTAAAATATTAGTGAAATAGGTACATTTTTGTGATTTATAGCACAGATAAGATAGTCGCGTGCACCATAATGGAATAAGGAGGCCCACGTAAGAACAAAGTGAATGGATATCGACTCGCGGCGGAGGAGGCCGAACGAAACGAAACGAACGTGAGCAGAGCAGCGAGACACGTCGTGCCAGAGCAATGGAGCCTGCCGCAATCACATCAGCAGCGCCGCCGGCCTTGGCGGCCACGCGGCTCCTCGTCATCCCGCCTCCCCGCGGCGGCTTCGCGTCCATCTCCCTCCCCACCTCCATCGGTGGAGGCGGGGGCAGGGGCGGAGGTCGCTCCGCTGGAGGAGGCGGCGGCGGCGGCGGCGGCGGAGGAGACTCTGGTGCCGGCGCTGCAGCGGCGATGGCGCTCGTCGAGGCCGGGACGATTGACGGCGACGTCATCGTGCTCCACGTCGGGGTATGTATGTATGTATATAATTCTGCGTAATCCCACTGCTCGCCGCCAGCGCGCCATTGCAGGGCAATTCCTTTCTTTTGGTACTAATTTGGCATGCAAGCATTGCAGGGTATGTCGTGCGGCGGATGCGCCGCCAAAGTGAAGCGGATTCTCGAGAGCCAGGTCCGTTCCTCGGCTTTTGCAAATGAATTTTTCATCACTTGCATGTTTGCCACTGAATGTATGTATTCCTCGAATAAGGAGGCGAACGTTTGGTCTATAGGTGTATCTACACCCTACATAAATAAAATAGCAATTGAATAAAAAGTAAAAAAATAAAATATTTTTGAAATAAATTTGACCTTTCATTGTACTTGTGAAAAAAGTTCCACAAAAAGGAAAACTCCCCTTGACTTCTTTTCAAAAATACTCCATCACTAATCTCTTATATTTCTTTACGGAGAGAGTAACAATTTTTCATCGAAAATAATGTAAATAGTTATAATAGCAAATAAATTTACTTTTTTTGCCTTGGAGTCAGCGCTGGTGGTTTTTTAGTGAAAATTTATATACTAGTGCAAAAGAAAGTCAAGTTTGTTGTAAAAAAAACTTCTGAACTATTTTGTAACTCTTAATTTTTCCTCATATAGAGTTCATATATATTTTTTTTTGAAAAAGGGGAAAGCACCGGGCCTCTATATGAGAATGATGCATGCAGCTATTTTATTAACAAAAGGATGCCAACAAAGTCTGAGGTTTAGTCTTGGCTCACAAACAGAACCCAAGCGACAAGAGAAATATAGAGTCTAGATACAACCAGGAACAAAGAGGCATTTCCGGCCTGCCATACCTATTTGCTACTGAACTTGATGTTTGCCACTGCCTTCTTTCATGTGCTATCCCTACCACATCTTCAATCAGCAGCATGGCCAATGTAACTGAAAATCTAGTGAATTACTGCTCCACCGATGTTGAATCTTTTACTTTTACAGCCTGAGGTTGCTTCTGCCACGATCGACTTGGCCAAGGCGACCGCGGTGGTGCGGACGACACCAGAAGCCATGATGACTAAGGACTGGCACAAGGAACTTGGGGAGAAGCTTGCAAATCACCTAAGAAATTGTGGATTTCAGTCTCATATGCTTGGTAAGGGTTGTGTTTTTCTGTCTTCCAAGTTTCGACCCAGTTTGGTGTGCATGTGATTTAGTTGAATATAGGTACACTTACATTATTGTACGTGTCGGCACCCTTTTTTTTTTTTGTCAATACAACAAATGGCCCTCTCTTGGAAACTCAAGCACTCGTGTCTTTCTTGCAGATGAAACCGAACAAAGCTGATTCAGCACCGGCGCCTGAGTACCCTTGAAGTTTTTGCACAATCGGATGCTCTTGTTGAACGCAGTAACTATCTTGCACAAGTTGTACATGTGGTTGTGGCAATATGAGAAATGTTTTGCGTTGAGATCTGTTGTCGTAAGTCAAATCTCCATGACTGTATTTAATTGCAGAAAACCATCACATTGTGGGCTAGGTTTGCAGGACACACGGGTTTACAGGTTTGGAACAAAAACCACTGAGTCTAATCTTTTGAAGAAGAACAAAACATTGTTGGCGTCCTTGCCCCATTTGATGACAACTATGACATGTGGGCCCCGCAAAAGCTGACGTGGCGTAACTGCTTGTACTTGATGCCGTTAGACATCACTAGAGGAGACGGCCTAGTTGTTTCAATCAAAACCGAAACGAATCGGAACGGGTCAAACCCCTCCTCACCCCACCTCCCCCTCTCGCTCGCACTTTCTCCCTCATAGAAATCCATACGAATTTGATTTGTTATAAACTTTCGGAACCGGAAGCTGTCTTTGAAGTTCAAAAATAAACTATTGATACTTGACTTGGAGTACTCTTTGAAGCTTCACAAAAGAATAGTTCTAGTAGGCATGCAATTAGCCCATAAACTGGAACTGATAGCAATTTACCTTCTATGTTCTATAGCTATTTCCAATTTTATAGATCATGCGCATGCACATTTTTTTAAAGGATCTTCGATCTTTGATGTGGCACTATGAAACCAGCATCCTTTCGGATCAGGCTCTCATAGAGGAATATGTAGTCAAGTGGGGGACTTCTAAAAATGAAAGAGTTATCTATATCCTTTACTAATTCCACTTTTTGCTAGAAAAAGTGTGGTTAACTCAAATCTTGATTTTTTGGGGTCCAGATAACGCCCATACGTGTGACATACTAGACTTCCGTCCACACACCGTGTGCGGCGTGAGTAGGAGGCAGCCCACACGGGTTGTGTGTGGGTAAACATTAGAATTGCTCACACGTGTGGACGCAGCTACTTCATGCCACACACCCAACAAGTACTACTCATCCCACTCTGCGCGTGTGGCATGAAGCAAATATGCCTACACATCCTGGATTTAGTTGCCATCCGGGATGACAGATGTAATTATTTGGGATGGAAAATGCAGTTGTAAAAGCATGGCAACTTTCTCTGTTTTGGTTAACTATAGTTGTCATGTCTAATTCATGGTAGTTGCCGCGCGTAATCAAACCATAGTTGCCGCGTGTGTTTATCTAGTTGACACATGTGGTCCAACCATAATTGCCATGTCTGGTTAATCACAGTTGCTATGTGTGTTTACCCTGGTTGCCACGTGCGCAACTGCAGTTGCTGTCTAGCAACGAATCATAGTTGTCATGTGTTTACCTAGTTGCCATGTACGCGCAACTGCAGTTGCCATTCAACAATGTACGAGTGTCATGTGGGTGAAAAGCAGTTCGCCCACACACGCGTGGACTAGGTTGTGGTTGTGTGGGCAGAAACTAGTTCGCCCACACAGCGCAGCTGGCAAACCGCGTGCTGCGGGGCGTGTGGACGAACTCTCCAATGCCCACACATACGATGATGCCCACGTAGCACTCAGATTCTAACAGATTCCTTTAGAATTCGTGCAAAACAGAATCAACGTGGATCAAGGCGTGTGTGCGTTATCATTTGGGATTTTTTTTTCTTATCCTTCACACTTCCAGCTTCCCAAAATTAGTTTGCCACCTTCGGATGCAACTACTACATGGTTGTCTTTATTTTTTATTATGTTAAAGACAAAATGATTTCTAAGTTTACGTACATATATTTTTAGTAATTTATCCTATCTAATTTGGTGTATTGTGCAGAAAATATTATTTTGCGCCCCCTTGCGCAATGTATGATCCACATGCTGAGCACCGTATTGTACTCTTTCTTTTTTCAAAATGCCATTCTACTTTTATCTACATATATGAATAGAAACCTTTG